TAAAAAAAAAAAAAAAAAAAAAAAAAAAAAAGGGAAAAAAGAAAAAGCGCAGGTCACCAAATACCGCTCAAGCTACCATCTTCACCCGAATAGAATGTCCGGTTGTTATAGCTGTATGTTGGGCAACTTTCAGTCCAGATACAGCGAGAATGACTGGGCGTTCTATTCGGGGGGGCGAAGACGGTAGGGGAAAATAGGAGGAAAAAAGGGTCATCTTCACACTAGGACTTTGTGGTCTGCATCTGGCTATTATTCTGATCAGGTAAGTCCCCGAAACTCAAGGTGTGAGCATGTCTCAAGAGAAATTCTTCAACAACAAAAACAATCAAAAACCTTTAAGCAGACCTGCAAGGGAAGAGGCGTAAATACTAAATATTAAATAATCATCGGATGGAAGAGAACTGCACAACCTTCATGGTAATCTCCCATCTCCATGAATAAGACTCATTAAAAAACATAATAATAAAAATAAGACTCTTTATCACTCATTTATATTTCGGAGGGGAAAAAAGACAGCCGTGCCGAAATAGGAGGAATCATCATAAACAATCACCTCAAATTTGGAGACTGAAAAAAAAACAAAAAAAAACAGCGATTTGGCGATGCAAAAAGAAAAGTAGGCTGTGCTCATCACTGCTCTCTATTCATTGAGACCTACTTGCTACCAAGAAGATTTTCCTAAAATAGAAAGGCAAAGGATATCTTTAACTAGTGTTGCACATCTGATTATTATGGTCGGTCAGCTCCGAAGGAGTGATTCCTGGCAGCAGCTGCCACAGCGCATACGCCCACAAGGGCCACAACTCCTCCTCATTCCCACCAACCAGCTGCCAGAAATATTTTGACTACTAAACAGACACAAGGCATAGGAACTAATACCATCAAGCATTAAGACGGGTTGGGAAATTCGACCCCCTCAACCCCCCCCTAAAATTGGGACCCCCCTAATCTGATTCGATGTGACGTATTTGTCCTCCGCTTCTCACCCCAGTGCCGTAAAGACAGCCCCTCACAGTGGAGGGTGCGCATCTTTGCAGTATTGCTCACCCCTCACAGTGCAGGATTTGCCGTATTGCCCCTCTGTTTTTCCGTCCTCCCTTGCACAATATAATCGACGGCTTGCTGTAGAATACGGGCACAGCTTTAGGCATAATATTGCCGCAGAGTGCAGTTTTTGCTGTCACTCTCCTTCCAGTATATGACTCGAAGGCTGGTTTCGCACCATCCGACGGTCCTCTATCATAATACTGGTCACGGCTCAAGACTCGACAAAGAATGCAATCTTCAGACCGTCATGATATCCTGCAAAAGACAGGAAGACAAACCACACACACACACACACACACACATACACCTGTCTCTTATACACATCTAGATGTGTATAAGAGA